GCGAGGGTGGGAGAGGCGTCCCTCGCCCCAGGCCGGCTGCGGTACTGACCCTTGTAGTAGAAGAGGCAATGGCCGGAGAGAACGAACCAGCGGCGTTTCCAGAGCCGGAGCCCGGAGCTGTCCTGGGGGGAGAGAGGGAGGAGAGGATGAGGAGCGGGTCGGGGAAAGGAGATGGAGACGGTGACACTTGGGGACAAAGGCTCGGAGAGAGGGGCGGACAGAAACACGTCTGATGCAATAGATTCAGATGGAAGACGGGAGTTTGAGAGGAGGGAAGATTCTGGACACGGTCAGACCTGAGTTCGTCTCCCAGCTCCACCACTTGCAGACTATGCGCTTACACAGTCATTTTCCCACTGGGACCCTCGGGTGTTCTCATCTGTCAACTGGGGGTTGAGAAGTTACAGAAGCCATAGCAGGTTTGGCTCTGTGGATAGAGCATGAGCCCGCAGACTGAAGGGTCTTGGGTTCGATTCTGGTCAAGGGCACGGACCTCGGTTGCAGGCTCAGTCCCCAGCCTCAGCTCAGGGCAGGTGCAGGAGGCAACCAGTCGAGGTGTCTCACTCATATCGATGTTTCTCTCTCTCTCTCTATCTCCCCCCGACCCCCTCCGCTTCCACGCTCTCTAAAAATCAATGGAAATATCTTCCAGCGAGGATTAACAAAAAAAATAGAGAGAGAGGTTACGGGAAAGTTGGAACAGATACATGCCTCTCGTGGGCAGGGGCTGGATCTATCTGATGGTTCTGGAGCCTGAGACACAGAGAGGCCAGGAAGGTGGCATGGAGTTATAACCCGCATCCTGCATCTCCCCATCCTCTCTGTCCCAGCACTACTCCACTGCCAACCTGGGCCCCTCTACTCTTCAATCCCTGCCCACGGAAGCAATAGAATCTTTCAAAGTAAATCAGATCGTGTGTGTTTCCTGCTCAAAAACAGAGCTTACCATCACACTTAGAATAAGCTGCCAGTTCCTTACCCTGGTTCACTGGCTTCCAGGGTATTTGAAACTTGGGCGTGCAGAGGACTCACCCAGGCGGCCTTGTCAAAACCTGGTTCCTGGGCCCAGTCCCCACGGCTCAGAGTCAGTGGACCTGGGATGGAGCTCGACAGCTCGCCTGTCCAGCAAGCTCCCGGGTGCTGCTGGTGCTGCCAGCCTGGGACGCACTTTGAGAATCACTGCCTCTCTGTCCCCTTGGCTTCTCCAGACACCCAGCGTTGGCCTGCGGTGGGTCCTTTTGCTTTCGGATTCCCTCTGCCCCCCAGATCTTAGCATGAGGGGCTCCTTCTTGTCATTCAGTTCTCAGCTCAAATGTATGTCACCCCCTCAGAGACGCCTTCCCTGACCAACAGACAAAGGTAGCTTTCATCCCTCAGCCACTTTAGAAAACATCCCCGTGTTAGTTCTTCACAGCACCTCATTTCACAGGAATTCCTGTGATCTGAAATCATCGATTTCACATGGACTTTATTTACATACTAGAGGCCCAATGCACGAAATTCGTGCACCCAGAGGGGGAAGGTCCCTCAGCCCAGCCTGCGCCCTCTCACAGTCCGGGAGCCCTCGGGGGATGTCTGACTGATGGCTTAGGCCCACTCCCCACAGGGACATCCTTATCGCTGCCACAGAGGCGGGAGAGGCTCCTGCCATCGCCACTGTGCTCACCAGCCCTAAGCCCATCTTCTGGCTGAGCAGCGCTCCCCCTGTGGGAGCGCACTGACCACCAAGGGGCAGCTCCTGCATTGAGCATCTGCCCCCTGCTGGTCAGTGTGTGTCATAGCAACCGGTCATTCTGCCTTTCAGTCGATTTGCATATTAGCCTTTTATTATATAGGATTATATACAACATATTATTTCACTCCTTCCATTTATTTGTATACTAGTTTGTTAACCACCCCTCCCCCACCCTCATCCTGAATGGACTATGGATACTTGGCCTATGTGTGTGGTATGTGACCCTGGGCTTGGCACACTGTCCTGTCGAAGAAGTTGTCAGTGAGTGAAGGAATGGATGGATGAAACCATGACAGAATAAGGGGAGAATGAATGAGAGCAAAAGCAACACAAAACAACACAAATGTGGAGACTTGGAGGGAGAGGAAGAGCAGGCAGCCAGGGACACAGCCTCGGGCGTCACTCGGAGTGTCTGGTCCCTTCTCCCGCTCACTCCACCTGCTTATGCAGCCAGCCTCGGATGTGCACCGGGAGGTTGGGGTCCCTTCTGAGTGCATTGCCTCTCTTCCCGAACGCGTGCACCTTGCTTACTGCCCGGGTGGGCTTCTGAGGAGAGAAGGAGGCAAGTGAACAAGGCTTAGGGGGGCGGGCAGTGCAGGGGGAGGGGGGCGACCCCCTCATCTGGTGCCCATGGAGACCAGGTGCAGGAGGGAGCTGAGTTTTGAGGTCAGAATGGGCTTGCACAGTGCAGAGCTGAGACCCTTTTCACGAGTGGAAATAGGTGTTCAGAGGCAGGGAAGAGGCTGGTCCGTGGGGAAGGAATTTTGGAGCGAAGGGTCCACCGCCAAGGGGAGGATGCCCTTGGCCGCCAGAGCCGGAGACGTGGGGCAGCCTTTGAGGTCTGAACTGGAAGTATTGCCTGGGAAGTCCCCATAATCAGGCGGCCTCCGTGCGATGAGTTAGAATCAAAGGACGCTCAGGGCCAGAGAGAGGCATCGCTTAGCAACCACATCCAGGGTGGAGGGGCCCCCGAATCACTCCATCCCAGTGGTGGGCACACTGCGGCTCTCGAGCCACATGCGGCTCTTTGGCCCCTGGAGTGTGGCTCTTCCACAAAATCCCGACTTCTGCGCATGGGCCACCAAGTTTCAATCGCACCGTACGTGCGCGCCCGCACGTGGTGTTTTGTGGAAGAGCCACACTCAAGGGGCCAAAGAGCTGCATGTAGCTCGCGAGCCGCAGTTGGCCGACCACTGCTCCATCCCAACAGACAAAGCCCCTCTCTCTCCTGGGCACACGGGGTCTCAGGCATCCAGGGCCGCATTCCCACAGCTGCCCTCAGGGATGGAGCTGGGCAAGGTCAGGGTCGAATCTATGGACTCGGAACTTGGGAAAGGGAATGAGGGAGGGGAACGGAGGGAAGACAAGGAACCCGGTGTCACCGAACTCTGGGCTGGGCGACCAGATGGGATGCACGTATCTTGGGCCTGACGGGGCCTGGTGGTCAGAGAGAGGTCTCTCCTTATTGGATCTCAGCCCTGGGCGCATGCATGGCTAGAGATTGGGCAGGGGGCTCAGGAGTCACCGAGTGGCCACCGCATCCGAGCTCGGGGGGGCGTGGCTCGTGGCTGGGGCGTGGCCTGTCTTAGCAGCCAGACTCCATCTGGTGGTGCCTCTGGCTTTGAATCAGGAAAATGCAAGGGGTGGGGACGGCTGGAAGTGCGTCGGAATTCCTAGCTGCAGCGGGTGGTCAGTGCGGGCCCTACCTAGGCCGGGCAGACCCTGTTGCTAAGGATCTTGGCTCTTGACCACCGGAGTCCCTGGGGTGGCCCCCACCCAGGGCTAGGCAACGGGAGGAGGGGGCAGCCCGAACCCCGTCCTCCTCCCCAGCCCCACCAGGAGGCTCCCACCTTGGTGCTCAGGCTGCTGAGCGACGAGATGGTAGAGGCGCTGCTGGCCAGGCTGAGGCTGCTGCGAGGCCGGCCCTCCTCCATCGAGGGCGAGAAAGAAAGGGGCTGTGTGCGCGTCCCTGCAGCTGACCCGGCTGGGGACGGAGCCGAGGTCAGGGGCTCGCAGGTCGGAGCAGGCTGCGGAGAAAGAGCCTGTTGTGTGGGGACCGGGGGGCTGGGCGAGGCCCGGCCTGGGCCCGCATACCGAGGGTGATGCCAAGAGAGGTGGGCGGCACTGGCAGCTGCGGGGAGGGGGCAGCTGTCTGT